ATGTAGGTAGATGGTTATTATCACGTAATCGGTTAATTATCGTTGTCGGATAGTTGTAGCGGATTACTTATCGAAGGGTCGATTTCTGAGCTAGGCATTTTTTGTTGATCGACCGTGATGTGTATCTTCGTTTGTATTGTAATTTGTATTTGAACTAAAGAGTAGAAATTTGTATTTGCGCCATTTGAATTTAACTTGATTTAATCGCACTAGTATTTGTTATTTGTTAATTTGATTTGTGTCTTTTCTTTTGTGCTAACTTGTATTTGGTTTGATACGTAGTAATTCGTATTTGTGTAATTTCTATTCAACTCGATTTGATAGGAACTGCATTTGTTAACTGTTAATTTTTTGTTGTATTTGTTATTTGTTATTTTTTGTAATTTGTGCTCGAGCCGCGTCGTAATTGTATTTTGTAGTGATGTCATCGCCCAAACTATTAATCCGTTGCCTGCGGACTGAATTACGCTGGGCCACCAGCGCCCATGCTTTGATAGGTCGACCGGATAGGGTCCATAACTTGATGAAGCGGTTCGAGCAGGTCGATGCTCGAAGGGCCGCAGTGGAGGAGGCTTACGCTGAACTCGAGGATTCGGATGTGGAAAAGGGATTCCTGGACTCCTGCTTCGCGGACTACGAGCAGTTCTTTTCGCTCACAGACGAGTTGATTGAGGCTGAAGGCAGGTATGCCGAGGAGGCGCGTGAAGCTCGGATGAGTGGCCTGCCCGAGTCCTCTCAGAAGCACCCTCAGCCGGAGCTGTTGGGACGACTCCCAACTCTGGACCTGCCAAGGTTCTCCAGGGTCCTTTCCGAATGACTGACCTTCGTTGGTCTTTTCGACAGCCTAGTGGACGCCTGGAGAGACTTGACCCCGAGCCAGAAGATGGCGTATCTCCTGGCCTCACTGGAGGGGGTGGCCCTGGGCGTCGTCGGCCACTTGAGATTGTCGGACGACGCCTACCAGACTGCTCGGGACCTCCTAGCCAGAAGATACGCCAACGTCCGGCGAATTGCGGACGAATATGTTAAGCAGCTTCTAAGCCTCCCGCTGCTTAGTGACCGGGTCAGACTACGTCCGGACCTGTTGGATCCAGTCTTTGTGGCCTGTAATACGTTGAGGCGGCTGGATTTACCAGTGGGCGAATGGGCTTTTTTGTTGCTCCGCATCGTGCTGTCCTGTCTACCTCTCGACCTTCGAATACATTTTGAGGAGAGGTACGGCGGGGACGAGGCCTCCTATATTCCGCCCTTCTATGACTTGCTGCGGTTTTTGGAGGAGCAGTGCCGGCAGATCGAGAACGAGGCGGGCACCGTTGACGATGTACGAGCCGTGCCCAGTGAGAGGCTGAATCCGCCAGGCAAGTCGTCGTCAACCCCCCCCCTACTCCTATTGTCGAGCATCTGTTCACCGACTAATGTGGTGCCCGAAATTATTAGGTAAGCCGGTTCCGGCGAGGCGAACTATCGCCAAGGAGCGCCGCTGTAGCTGCTCATGTTTGGAAGGGCACCTCCAGCGAGACTGTCCGCATCTGCGGCCCTGTCTGCATTGCCAGGGCAATCACCATGCAGTTTTGTGCCTGGGTGCGAACGGCGTCTCCTCTCGGGGCTCTGCCAGGCCCTCAACCCCCACGGGCGGGGGCGCACAGCCACGCCCTCTGACGGGCGAGTCTCGGCGCCCGCCGGCCAGCCACCAGGCCCCTAGGTTTGAAAGGGGTCCCTCCCCCGACCAGTCGGGGGGTAATTCCCCCAGGGGCGAGGGTGTCATCACCCCCCCTCAGCGTGTGGAGAGAAACTTCACGGCCACTCATCAGTTCGCAAGACCCTTCTCACTCCTGTTAGCTGAGTGGCCGCGACTGGTGTACCACTGTTCCCCATTTGATGGAGGCGGTCCTGGCTACCTGCCGCCTTAGCTCCCACCACGGCCGCCTCCACTGAGCCTTAAGCCGTCAACAGTCCACTTGTCAAAATGTTCTGTTGCCGACGGCCTCAGTGAAGGCGTACAACCCGAGTGGCGACTGTTAGCGGTTGTGCTCTATTGATCTCGGGTTCACGCCATGTAGCCTCCCCTTGGTGATGGGAAGATTAGGGCCCCTCTGGAGCGTTGAATCACGCTGTCAAGGGGTATTAGATTTGGTTTGGTCGAGCACTTAGTCAAAAATACTTGAATTAAAATTAAAAATTGCTTTGGGCTTTCCGCGAAAATTTCCTATTTGTAGCGGTTTAAATTAAAAGAATTGAATTTAATCTACTCCTTTAAATGCTACTGCATGTGTTCTGTAAATATATTTAATCACTGTATTTGATTGTTGCGTCTGTTTGCTGAAAGGAAAGTTTGAATTCATTTGAAATTGAATGTCGCGCTATTTGGAAAATTGTGTATATGTTTTGTGATAGTGTTTGATCATTTTGCTTTGTGAAAAGGAAGGCTGAAATTAGATAACCCTATTTGTGCCGAAGGGAGTGGGAGTCGATTCTCCTTTGGTTTACATTTTGTTGGCACTGTCTTCTAAGATATTTAAATGAGAAGTAGGGCTGTCCCTTACGTTTATTGTTTTGTTTAATTTGCAAGTTGACCTATGTGCATCGGTGATTAATTTGTTTGCATTAATTCTATAGTTGGACATTGATGCTTTGAAAAATTAGTTGAAATATGAGCATAGGACTACTTGTCTAACAGGCTGGCTAGTTTGTAGATTATCAGATGGAAATCAGCTGTCGCACCATTTGGTAAATGATTATATGGTGGATGGCTTGGCTATGCCTACTTGTTTGAAAATTCATACTAGGGACTATCTGTGCGTTCGTTCGGCTCTCCACAGACGACGTTCATGGGGAATTTAGGGGTGCTCTCTGCACTGAAGCTTAGGAGGTCACTCTGGGCCGCTTCGTGTCGCGTCGCTGTTTGCAGACCTGATACGGTCGGATTGATCATCAGGAAATCATTATAATCGTGTCGTCGCGTTAAGTGCCCTTTTTTGTGTGTGTTGGCTTGTTAGTTTACGCGTCAACGAGGCGTATTTTGAATATTTTCGTGACGTGGTTTTTGGTGTCGAATGAAGGAACTTAGTTGTGTTTAACTGAGTAGTATGATTCAATAATAGATCGCTTTAATTCCCTCTTTATAATTTGTGATAAGTGAATCCGGGACATTGAATGTTGAACTTTGAACTACTGTCCGTTACTGTGTATCACGTGTTTGATTCTACGATGAATGTGGAATTAGGCTAGTTTAGTTAGTTAAATGTACAATGAAGCTAATAGGACTGTCCTCGTGACGAACGAAGAAAGTGACTGTGGACGACTTCGCGGAAGATTACCACAATTTGGAGCGGTGCTGAAGTCCGAGCTGCTGCCAACGGCAACGGTCTGATAAGGTCAACCACACTCAGTCACACACAGATACACATCACTGACCCTTACTTCCCATGCACCATACAACTTCATGCGACCTGACCGAACCCTGAGGGACCAGTCGCCTTGGATATAGGTAAGTAAGCTCGGTTTAATATTCTCCCTGTTGAATAGCAGCAAGATCGAACGCCCCCCCCCCCCCCCCTTATTGTTTATTGTTATTAGAGATTTTCCACTTTGGCCTTAGGAGGCCCGACCTGCACCTGCTTGTAAGGTCTTCCTTCATGGGCCGGGAAGATCCTACTATTAGATTGGCAGCTGTAGGGTAACAAATTACATTAAAACTTTTTGAACTATTTTATCCTACAATTAAATATACTAAACACTAAACAAAAACTATTTCGAAGAGTATTTCAACAAGTATTTACAAAAAATTATTTACGTATACAGCGTTAAACAAACTTTAACATTCAATCGTATAGAGCGCGCTAGCCCGGACTGCGATCTACCCCTGGGGCAGCTCGCGATTGTAGGTAATTATTTCACACAGGTAGCAAGAGTGACAGAGGCCTGATAGTAGCAAAAGTGAGCTCTTTGTGCGCACTGCTGTTTATGATCCCCAAACCAATGTTTGGTTAAAGTTTTCTTCTGGACCCTAAATGCAGTGTTTTCACTGCAGAGGTATATTCGGCCCTCGAGGCCTGAAGAGGATCGCACCTATAAATAGTTTTAATAATTTTTTGATTTTAACAGACAGTTTAAGTATGGTCCAAAGTTTAACCAATCTCAGATTTGACTTTAAAAAAAACTATATTTTGTATAATATTAAAAAATTGTTATTTAGTTATACAGGTCTCTTTCATGTGGATTCCATCACATAGGGACAAAACAGGAAATGAGATAAAATTGCACGTGATGGAACCAACATGTTGGATGTTAGCTCCATTGTAAAAGTACCATTCACCGACTGTTATCAATCTATTGACAACCAGGTCAATAGTTTATGGGTCGAATTTTGGAAACAAGACCAAGAACAGAAGGGTAAATGGTATGGAAATGTTCAAGCAAACCTACCTGTAGCACCATGGTATAACAATCTGAAAATGGCCAGTAGGGACTTTATTACGACTATAAACAGACTGCGTTTTGGTTACTCCACCGTCCCGGCCCACCTGGCTCGGTTGGACATAGTGGAGAACAGCTACTGCACCTTCTGCAATAATTCTGTTGGTGATACCTATCGAACATTTCATATTTATATGTGAGTGCTTTTCATTTGACAGATTGATTCTTGTCAGTGAAATTAGTTACATAGTGCAATATCAAGTGACAGTGCAAGATCCCTTCCGCCGCCTGAGTGATATGTTAAAAAATAGATCCTATTACGTGCCTCTATATAAATTCATCAACAATACAGTGGGGAAATTATAATAAACCGAATAAAAATACTCAAGACTTGGCCTAAAGGTCTAGATACCAGGCCATAAACTCCAAAAAAAAAAAAATCAAAATATTTATAAAAAAACACGAAAGTCTATGAAAGTTTGTGTGTTTGTGTTGTGAAATGTGAATTGTGAAAAAATAGATACCTACATACGGAAAGAGTTTTCCTATTATTTTGTTAAATTTGTTACAGTTTCTTTGAAACAATGGCTATTGTTGAAGATGAGGTGCGAAATGATTCTGAAGAAGAAAATGAGATTGAAGTTGTTGTCGAAGAGGACGACGCAGACCAAGATTCTGATGATTCGGATGTAATTTCCAAAGAATTATATACTTTGTTTTTGAATATATATATTTTGTTTTTACATTTTTCACCTGTAGAGTTTTTAATTTTTTTTAATGTTGTTTTCTAGCGCATAAAATACCTAGTTTATTCTAAACAATACTTCCTCCATTGCAATTTTTTATTAAAATTATAGATACCTTAAGTTTTACTATTATTTATGTGCATGAAAACAATATAATTAATCTTATAAGATATTAAATAAAACATACAAAAGAAAATATGAGCTTTTCATAACATTTGCTTAGTAGTTGCAAGTTGTCACCATGCTTATGACAGGCAATATACCCATTTTTATCATCGTACAGGATGATGATGATGAAGATGTATTGGAAAAAAAAGTAGCAGACTTAGAGCGTCGGATAGCAAAAGACCCTTATATTTATGATGATCACATTGACCTTATACAAGCACTGTGGTAAGTGTAAGTTTTTAGTAATTATGTTAGTCAATTTTTATATTTATGCTATCTGCTATTGGTACTTTGGGATTATCCCATCGTATTCTCAGTGCTATTTTAATTTATTTATGGTTAACAATTATATCAATATAATGTATGTGGCTATGGGTGGCCCAACCCCACTTGCTATGATTACTGATATTAAAAGATTGGTGTAATGTTTTATTTTTATTTGTTTTATGAGCATCGAGAGGTTGCAGGGATAATCCCGAAGTACCTTGTTAATTTAAATTTGTTTTTAAAATTTGCATTATTTTCTGATCTGAAAATGGTTTTGTTTATTGAAAGACTATTTAAAGTTGTTTAATGTTATTCCTCAAACTTGCCTCCATTTTTAATGTGAAACATCTTTCCTCTCACTTTCCTGCAATCTGTGGATATAAACAGCAACTTGGGGGGGGGGGGGGGGGGGGGGAGAGTAGAGGATTCTCCCTGCAAAAAAATCAAAGTATGTGAAAACATAAATTTCAAGATAAACAAATTAATATGCTAGGTCAAATTAACAAAAAATCTCTTGAATCAATCCAGAAATTAATATGGCCCCTGCAAAGTAATTTCTGGTAGAAGACAATGGAGGAAAAACAGAAACTTCCTCCAAGGGGTAACCAAATTGTAGAAAGGCATAATTTTGAAATTATTTAAAGGTATTGATAAGCAACAGTTGTATATTTTGTTTAGAAATAATTTAATATTAAAAATTTTGTACAGCCGACTTCAATATAAGTTATTTAATATTTAAGAATAACTTAAAAACTATTGGTCTGACCTTGATCAAATTCATATGGGACCACACGAGAAGTACCAGCTTTCAAATAAAAAAGAATCATCGAAATCGGTTCACCCAGAAAAAAGTTCTGAGGTAACACACATAAAAAAAAAAAACTAAAAAAAAAAACATACAGTTGAATTGAGTACCGGCTCCTTTTTGGAAGTCGGCAGAAAACAATATGCATGTTCTGAACTCTCTGACTGAATCAGCTGAATTAAAAGGGAAATAAAATAGGGGTGGGATCAGAGTTAGTCGGTATGATCTCATTATAATGTTCCAAATAATTTATAAATCTCTAAATCCCTTTAAAATCACATAATATTGATTATTTCAATAAATGTGAGGTTATCTTTTTTTATAATTTCCATTATTATTATTATTTCTGTGGTGCTAAGACAACTCAAAAGAATAAAATAATTTTACATTCTAATTCTTCTTTGTTTACTATGACTTTCACTTTTTATTAGAAATTGTTTTCCTTTACCCCGTTTTAGTGGATTACAGAATCTCTGTCGCCTAAATAGCTAAATTAAAAGTTACTTCCCCTATTCTGCCACCCTCATGGGTGGAGTTTATTCCTTGAAATATGTAATAAAAAATAATCATCAAAGTCAGTTCACAATTGACAAAGATATTGTGGAACATATAGTTAGATGGAATGAAATGAGAGGAAAACCTTCTCCTTTTTTAAACCCCGACGAAAACAGAGGGGTGTTTGTTTGTAGTGTGTATCTGTGTATCCGTGTAACTGTGTATCCGGTGTATCGGTGTAACGTTTTTTTATACCCGTCATTAGAATTCTCTCCTGTAACGTGGAGGCAGTTTACAAACACAAATTTCACAAGGACAAACATCCAGACCCGGAACAATCGTTTGTAGGCCATACATATACTTGTTCCGTGTGGGATTCGAACCCAAGCCCCACAGCGCAGCAACTCATTGTTAAACCACGGAGCCGTCGTAACTATATATCCATGTAACTGAATATCTTGTGTATCTGGCTGAGGTCCTGAATGGATGTACTGATTTCGATTAAGTTTTTTTTTGTTTGAAAAGTGCCTTAATTGAGTGTTCTTAGCTATGTTTCAAGAAAATCTATTCAGCCGTTTGAAGATCATTAGCTCTTTTTGTTTTGGGGGTTTTGAAAAGAACAATGGCAGACTTTCATACATAAAATTAGTTGAGAAGGAATGGTAGCGTCTATATATCAAAAATATCTTAAAATGTTAAGAGTCAGTCCCTTAATAACTCTGTCAAAGAATTTTGTCCTGAGAAGGCGTTAAAAAAAAGATATTTAGATTTGAACTTTTTGGGTTATGTCTTATGTCACTTACAAAAAGTCATGCGTCCTGTGGTTGTTTGATGTTAGCTTAATACATTCCCAACATAATGTACCTACCTACATAATTGAGAGCTTTGAGATTATTGTACTTCTATTATATATTTGCATACTATAAATGTATATTTCTGGCATGGTTCCAGGGCCTTTGTGTCAAACAGTGACATTCTCAGAATGGCTAGAACCCAGAGCCGTAAAGGAAGTAAAAAAACAGTGACATTTTGTTTGTAGCTAGTGTTGCCATAACATTAAATGGAATTGTTACATAGTACTACAATTGAGATAATGTATTATTGTAGGAAGTTCTTTGTAAGAGACTTATTTTCAACCATATCACTTCTATTTTTATTATTACTGATAGTATAGTTATTACTAATAATAATAACTAATTTTGTGTTTGTGTGTTGTGTTGCTAGTCTTACAAAGTGTATACGAAAATAGTATGAATATAGAAAATGGCAACACTTGAAGAGAGTAAAATGATTTAAGTCATTTAATATTCCCAAAAATGTTTGTTTTTTCTGTGGCTTTAATTAAAAAAACATTTTTATTTGGAAAATAATAAAACTCATTTTATATATAACTTATTTCTAGACGCAGTCATTTTTGTCAACTATTTTTCTGCCATTGTTCTTTTTTATTTTAGTTATTAAGTTAATATACTCAAGTTACACACTTAGAACTGTTGAACCATAGCCCACATTCTTCTGAAGAGCTTGACTAACAATAAAATATGAAATAGTATGTAGTTGTGGAACATTATTTAGTGTATTTGGATTTGTTGCAATAATTTTGTAAAGTTTGTTTTTTCTTTATGCCCTTATAGGAGTCTTTCAGAACTAGATAAATGGCGTGCTGCATTCAACCGTCTTCAGCAGATGACATTGCTACGCCCTGAGCATTGGCTTCTGCGTTTGCAGACTGAAGAAACACTTGCACATTCTGCTCAATCCCACGATTTTATGGCTGACCTGTTCCAGCAAGCTGCTTTAGATTGTTATTGTACGTAATCATTTCTATAACACTAATTACAAATGTTTAAAGGTCCTTTTCTTTAATTAGCAAGAAAAGAAATTGAGATACGAAAGGTTTGTCTTAATAAATATTGAATACCAGCTTTTACTTGCGACTTAGTCTATGTAGAACTGAAACAAAAATATAGTATAATATAGTATAGTAAGCTATAATAATTCTTTGATTTACTATGATAGTGTTTGGTCAAAGTATGATTTAGTAAACGCCATGAAATTCAAGCTAATCTCTGATACTAAAATTCTCTGATACTACATTATGATCAGTACTTAAAGAGACAAAAGTAAAGATACAACACTGCTGGGACTGTCATTTCTTATCGGAAGCCTGAACTTAACTGCCTTACAAATTTAAATCCAATGTCTGTAGTAATTAACTAATAAATGCAATAAAATTTAAAGCTAATTGTGATATTCCTTTCAGCCATACCAATTTTGAGTCTGTGGTGTTCATGGGCCTTAAGTACTGGTGCAGCGGACATTGCACGAGCTCAATTAGATGAAGTACTTCGACGTGCTGGCGCTGATCCGTTTTCGGGGAAACTCTTCTGGGATGCTAGACTTGAGTTAGAAAAAGCACAGCTTGAAACTTTGAGGTATGAATAATAAGATACCTTAAAAATAATTTCATCTTTTCAATGTTGTTTTATTCAAAGAAAATGTGATCATTGAAGTTTGTAAGTAATATAATTTTGCTTTTCCTTGGGGGAGGCCTATGTTCAGCAGTGGACTTGTGAAGGGCTGTAATGATGATGATGATGATGATGATTAATACAATGTATTTTTATTGCATGCTATAAGAAAATGTGCTTACTCCTTGGCTTCCATTTATACGAAATTTGCAGGCCTGTTATTTCTGTCTGTAAGTAATACCAGCCCATTAAGTAGTCCGTTAAGCTGTATTAAAAACACACTATGAAGACTGCTATAAAAATATGACTTATTTATATGTTGTTACACTTTTCAAACTATAAAGTTTGGAAAGAAAACACAAAGGTTCTGGATTTATAACTGTTATAAAACTATACTATGCAATTTCAACATTATTAAGATATTACAAACTGGCTACATTAGCATTATGGATTTTATTCCTAAGACATGCATGTTTCATCACAATGTTTTCATTACTGGGCACGTCGTAAATCAGCACTTAAAATTACAATGAGCATTGCCGTTGGTGCTGGCAGACTTGAACACATATTGGTCAAGTACTGTGAAACTACGATGAGTGACTAACCTAAGTTTGGAGCTACCACATACCAACATTTTTTTTCTTTGCAACCAATAGGTTTCATGAAGGACAGCTCCTTCACGAATACGACAATAAGTCTGGGTGAGTGTTTTATGACACTATAGGCGTTTGATTGTGCACAACTTCTACATTAATTTACAGATTAATGTATAAGCTGATGTATATAGCATGCATTCAATTTTATGCCATAAAAAGGAAGTAATGGTCTAATATACGTCCAACTGGCCACAAGCTTCATTCATTAATGAGAGAGTTTTGAAACAAGGAAGAGTCTGCCGCACTGCACCAATGTGCTTAACAGATTTCACATGTTTTTTTACTTTCTCAGATGTGAAGGTTTCTCTTTAGCATCGAGTACGCGGTAAATCAGCATTTAAAATTGCTATTAACAACTGCAGTGGTGCTGGAAGAGATTGAACTTGGTTTGCTTGTGCGGATTGAATTTTATAAATTCAAATGAGAGTGAGTGTTCATACACACACTAGTGCACAGTAATCCTGTCTTGCGCATATGGCTAGTCTCCATTGAGACTGGCTGCCGCGACAGAAATTCGGTCTGGAGAATGTTATTATTAATTGTAAACATGTTTGCATAATTGGGTATTTTATCTGATTTAAAATTTCAAATGTGTTTTCTACAAGGGCCCATTCATGTTCTCATTTTTTTTCTTAGACATGATCTTTATATGGCATTTGGGATACTGGGGTAAATATCAACAATTTTTGGTTTATATGGAAGTATAACCATGAACATAGTTCCATCCATGGAATTAATTTCATTGAATTGTTATTGTTTCAGCGAAGACCACGCCGACTATAAGTCACAAAAGGAACGCGTCCTATGGTGCCTAGAAGAAGCAGTGTCTCGGCCGCTGCTAAGAAGTGAAGAGGCGTGGCAGCCTTTTCACGAATTGGCTTTAGTACTACACGATCAACAATATGTTGATAGGGTTTGTCTCTCAATTTTTTCTACTCATTTTTCAAAGTGACTTGAACTATCAATGGTGATAAGATGCATGTCTATAGACTTACAACATGCTTCATGCTAATGATAAAGAAATTAAGCTTACCACAATTCTTATTATAGGTCTTTTGTTTGTTGTGGGCATTTATATACTTTTGTATGGTAGAGCCACGAGAGCGACCACTCTTTATATTAAATGAAGATATTGCAATAATTTTTTTTTTTAGATAAGGGCCAAGCATCTGAGTTTAGAAAACATAATTGAAATCTATCCAGTAGGTTTTCCGTGATGCGTGCATAACTGCAATCCTCTATCATTTTATTTATATAGATAATCAATATGAAATCAGCCACTCCCTGCACAGACGCAGATACTTTTTCTATCCAGTTGCTTCCACTTGACATATACCGGTCGCCAATCTAAAAGTGTTCGGTGTAGGTAGTTTAGTTGTCTGTAAATATTGACAGCGATGATGTATACAGCGATGGTGTATACAGCCGACGTATAATCAACACAACAAGAAAAGGTAATGTTTCCTCATCGACATCCATCATGAAACTGACGGAAAGCAAGCAACATTTTGTTATCAGTAACCAGAAGTAGTAACCGGTGACTGTGTCACTATCGGACACAGCAACTACGGTTTCCTGTGATGGGGTGTCGTGTCGATAACAAAAAGTCTCCACGTTTGCACAGCACCTTATTGCTTAACTTCCCTCAGTTATTTCTGTTACATATAATACGCATTAGCTTGCGCAAATATAATGAATGATTTATAGCTTTCATCAGCGTTCAAACGTAATTGCTTAATTGCACCTGCTTTCTGTAGTATCCTTGCTTAGTAGACAGTTATGGAACTATTTCGTTTCGATAAAGCTGGTGATCAACAAAGAAGTAGTGCCATTATTTATTATTTACCGCGTCAAGTTTAAATGATTTGCAATGGACGATTAGATGCGATAACTTAGCATGCGAGTAGTGCCATGTCAAGGAAGGTTTTGTGAAAAGCATACAGGACGTGATTGTCTTAGAATCAAAACAAGTACGAGGGGCGTTCCATATACTCTCGGTATTAGCACATAATAAATAATAGTTAAAAGAACAGAAGGATCACTCTCTGATAGTAAACTTGATTTAAAACTTAGTTACAACATCGCTAATGTTCATAATACTTTGCTTGAGTAAGAGACTATTTCTATATCCCCTAAAAAGATAAATAATTTGCACAACTTAGTACGGGAATCAACTTAAGAACGATAAAATATTTAGGAGAAGTGACTATAAGTACACAAGGTGTGTTAAAGATCCTATCTATACCACAGAATAAATAATAGTTAAGAGAACAGAAGGATCACCTCCCGATATCAAACTTGCGAGTTTAAACTTAGTTACAACGTCGCTAACGTTCATAATACTTTGCACGCCTCGGAAGTGACCTTCGTGAAATTAGCCTACCGTTTATTTCGTCGAAAAAAAATTATGTGGCGCGCGTATTAAATCAAAATACACCTTACGTGCGCGTACGAGTGTCTGTATCACTTAGCCCGTTACGCGCCTTTGTTAAGACCGCTTTTACTGTAGGTTAGGTGTTGTGAGAAAAGAAATTAAATCCTTTGATATTAGTTGGCATATAGTAGAATACACCGAGGTCTTATGCAATATTTTAGTATTTCTTTTATTTATTTCCTATTTTGTTAAAAAAAGTTACCCCCCACACTAGGATTTTCTCCTGTATCGTGGAGGCAGTTAACAAACATAAATTGCACAAGGACAAACATCTAGACCCGGAAGAATTATTTGTAGGCCATACAAATATTTGTTCCTTCCGGGATTCGAACCCGCGGCCCTAAGCGCTGTAACTCATTATTAAGCCACTGTGCCCCGGAGCATCACATGTCTGTTTCACATTTTTTGCTATTTAAAAACATGAGACACGCGACTCCATTATTAATGAAAGATTGGCTACGAGAAGTGCTGCTACTTTCAATCTCTTTCTTCTATAGACCAAGTGTTAAACTAATTATCAGTATATTATGCTGATCTTGCATTAGTAAGCAGTCACTAGTACTGGGAGGTCTACTTACACTGACCGTTTATTTAAGGTCATTGGCATTATACGCGAAAAATTCGAAAAATCAAATAATAAGTCTGTAGCTATGGCGTCAGTAACTAAGTACCTAATTATCTAGATCTACCTATAAATAATAATATATTACCTTTAGGTATCCTTAAGAACAGTAAAGAATGATAAGTCGACATTCCTGTTATTTAAACACAGAAAATAATTTTACGTAATTAAACGTAAGGCGTGCGTAAGCCCGAGCGCGCGCGTGACTACCTCACGGAATTAGCCATGTAGACTGCCGCGCAGCGTTAGGTATATTTTCTTGCCTAAAGCGCGAAGTGAGACAGGCCTGGTATTAGGGTAATTTACTAATAATGTGAGTAGTTAAAAAACCTGAGGTTATAAATATGAAATTTTATCTTAATAATTCCATTACTTCTTATGTAACCTCAGACATAGACGACGGGAACGACTTACTCGACAATGTTGAAAAAATCGAACATCGTGCGGTGATTAAATTCCTCACTAAACAAGGAAAAAACAAAAAAAAAACATACATGAAAAAATGGTTTACCAAGACCTTCCTTCAATGTCAGCCGTACAGAAGTGGTCAAATGAATTCAAAAGAGGCAGGGAAAGCATTGAAGATGACCTCTGCCCGGGTGGGCCAATCACAGCGACTACAAAAGTTGTGAAAATTATTGAAAAACTTGTATTAAAAGATGCACGAGTAAGAATTAAGATATTAGCTGAAATGACTAACCTATCCGTTGGTACCATATACACCATATTGCATAACATCTCAACCTCACAAAATTCAATACAAGATGGGTGCCGCGAATAGTCACTGCGCTTCAAAAATAGGTGCGGGTTGACTGTTGTAGGGAGTTTTTAGAGCGGTGTGGTGACGTCCCAGCAAGTGTTTTCGATAGGATAGTTATGAGAGATGAAACGTGGGTTCACCACTATAACCCTGATAGTAAACAGGAGTCTATGCAATGGCATAAAAAGGGAGCAGACACCTCCAAGAAGTTCAAAGTCACTCAATCGGTAAAATCATGGCCACAGTGTTTTGGGATTCCAATGGAATACTATTGATCAAGTACACAAAAAAAAGGTGAAACCATCAACGCAGACCGATACTCAGCCACTCTACGCCGTTTGAGAGAAGTAATAAAAGAAAAGAGAAGAGGAAAGCTGGCCAAGGGAGTGCTGCTTCATCATGATAACGCACCGGTTCACACGGCGCGGCTCTATAAGGCTGCTGTACCGTAATGTGGGTTTATGGAAATTAACCACCCACCATATAGCCCAGATCTAGCCCCTAGTGACTACTTTTTACTCCCGAACTAAAAAAAAAGACCTTTGGCGAAAGCGATTTGCTGATGATAATTAGCTAAAGTCCGCTGTAAATGAGCATTTTCAGGCCAAGGTGGATGGTCTTTTTCAAGAGAATAGAAAAGCTTTTTTCACGAACAAGTAAATCTATTGATGTCATGGGAGAGACTATATTGAAAATTAAAAAAAAATTTCATAATCTTATCTTTTTTCTAACATACCCACACCGAGAACACATTGAACACCCCTCGTACATCTAAGCAACATGAGTAAACTAACTAGTAAAAGTGCGAGTCACTTTAAGCCTAAATGTTACATGATAAAGTTTTACGTGTAGAAGTAGCATTTGCTCTAAATTTAGGGTATTATCTGCATCAGCGGGGGCGGCAAAGATGCTTTTCTACAATCATTAATGTTATACAAAACTATGAAAATGTATTGGGAATGACTTACCTGAATGCTCAACTACACGTTCAAGTTAGCACTAAGTCAAGTGACTTAGCGTTGTTTTAATTCATTTTTATAGTTTTCTAATAGTGTAAACGATTATTATAGAATGTCATCCCTGGTGTTGCTTTCACTGACACATTTCCTTGTCTATTCATAAAAATTACAAAATGTATTAATAACATGAACTAACTTTTAGGTCAAAAAGCAACATGATGCAGCTGTTGAATACTTACAAAAAGTTACTCCATATGAAGATAAAATATTGACAACAGAGTAAGTTAAAGAACATGTTAGACAAGGCAGACATAATAATTTATGTTACTTACTTGTTAAATTAATATAAAATTCCTGTTTTATAGAGATCCTGCCGAAAAGTATAAAGTTTACAAGGAGTATATAAATGTAGTTAAGGATTTATCTCAAGAAGGAAAGTTTTCAGAATGTGATAGTAATGGTATCCTTAAGGTAAGGAATTTCGATATTTTCATCACCTTCATCATCATTACTGTTAAAGTCCACTTCTGAACATAGGCTTTCGCTTCATATTGTCTCATAGGGGGATATTTGCCATAGTTGCCATACTTAGTAGGCGGTTTGGCAGGTTATTTTTATATTGATAATCTATTAAACCATTTCATCTCATGGGTACGACACCAAAAGTCTTATGGCTTCTGATAGATATAGGGATAATCATCTCGTGAATGCTAGACATAAAATATCCAGACCAGATAGAGAGATTATTCTTGTTAGATTTTTTGTTGTTTAGTGTTTTATCACACTACTAATACTAAGATATGCGGTAGTGCCGTATTAGAATCCATAACCCCAATCCGTCCCTTGTATGACGAAAAAGGTGATTATGGTAAAAGCCTAAAAGTCCTGATGAGACCAGTTTACATCTGGTATATACGAGATATAGTGTCGAAGGTGGATAGACATCTGGTGTGACGGTAGCTAATACCCTTGACAAGTGTTGCAATTACAGCAAACCAAAGATGTTTTATAGGTCCAGATACCGTGTTGCTAACACACCGCAACGTTCATAGTGAAGACAGTCTTTGATTCATGTGTGCGTGAGTACCACGTGACACACATATCTTACGCACCATGGCTGCATTAATGTGCGTGACTTCGGTAATAACAGTGCGAATCGATTACCCAAAAAATTTGGGAGATTTTATATTTCATTCCTATTGACGTACCTATTGATTCTAAGAGTATAAAATGTGTGTGCGTGGCGTGTGCATTTGTGTGTGTATGGGGATATGCTTGCTTATGTGTGTTTTATGTAGGTACGAACATCGCACTAAAATATTGAAGATATGTAATAAAACCTATAATTAATGTAACAGTTACAATAAATAAAAAAAGCACAGTACAGAAGACATTAAATTATTTTTCAATCCTAAGTAAAATGACGAAAAAAATCTTCAGAGAACCGGAGACCTGTTTTACTGGAAAAGAGGCATTCTATCTTAGTCCTCACGGGTGACAACACATCTGCATTTTGATTCGCAAACGAGGATAAATGCAGATGTCTATGGGCCGCAGCAACCACTTACCATCAGGTGGACTGTGTGCTCGTTTGTCATCCTATCCTATAAAAAAAAGTAAGTTTGGTTAAGCGTGAACTTCAGCCAAGAGATAGCAAAATGTTTAATTTTTTTAAATTGCTCCGTTCCGTTGCTGCGTGAAGGAAGGACAAAAACAAATAAACAAAAAAATCACACTTTCACATTTATAATATTATATTAGTATGAATTGTCAAAAATGATAGATAAACTTTTAAAACCGGTTTACAATCGGTTTTTTGAGGGTGGACCTATACCAGTTACTACTATAACGGTTCTGAGTGACCAAAAAGGATAGAAGCACAGGAAAGTGCAATTTCATGCTGCCAGATGTAGTTCAACCCTAACCCTTAAAATGGTTTAACTCTATAGGTTGGGTAAAATCTGTAAAATTAGACTGTTTAAAACCCCTATACAGATAACCTTTGTGGTTGATCATGACATTAAAAAATGGTAAAAACTTTTCATAGACTAGGCAACACTCGAATATTATTGCGCAGTATTATTACTTGTATTGACATTTAGCTTTCGTATTCTTTTACAAAGAAATACACCATAAAATTGTATAGTTATTTATGAAAAGTGATGTTCTTATGCTTATCTTTTTTCCAAGAGTAATTTTTAAATGATTTCACAGCACAAACAGTCATTTTGCGAAATTAAAAACACCGGTGCGTGACGTATGTTCACAGCGAACGGCGCTGGCGTAATGGCGGAACGATCGAACGAATACGCCAATATTGGCGCCTTTGAAATGGAAGCGTTTTAGGCGCGCGTACACGGTATCTGGACCTATAAAACATCTTTGCAGCAAACCTTTCCTACAATAGGAGAGGTCCATGCCTAGAAGTGTACCGTTATTAAGGATATCCGCAACTTGCTAATAATGCATGACAACGACTACCGAAGCCTTATGGTTCATTACTCACAATGCTCGATTAAAGTTTCAATATTAGTTTTATTCTTTCTAGGTGCTGTATGAGCGTGTGACAACGGAGTGTATAAATTGCGATGCAATACATGACCTTTTGCTGGAGTACGCACATCTGGCGCAGGAAAACTCTTCGCGTGCCACAATTCGTCGCGTGCTGGACGCTTGCGTGCGTCGATGTCCGAGAAAACACACATTTTGGACGCTTAAAATGCAGCAAGCTGAGCATGAAGAGAAGGAATTTGATGAGGTATTTTTAGCTGAGTTCTAAAGAGGAGGAGGTTTACAATTTCACTATACCTTTTTAAACTTCAGGGGTGGTCCCATATAAATTTGCAAAAGCAAAATTTCCACCCCTAATGGTGGAAAAAATTGCGAACAAACTTTTTAGTGTAACTATTCATACACAATTCCAGTTTGTATTCCTTAATCCACTCAAAAGAGTCAAAAAAATTGACTTAAGAAATAAAGACGACTTCAATGAACTAAAAATAATGAAATAATTTCCAAATAATAGCGTTCAGAAGTTGGGGTTTTAACACTTCTATATTACTGTCTTAGCACTACTTCTGATGCTATAATGTGGAAATTATATTATTATTTCTATTTCCTTCTTCATCCAAATGCTTTTTAAGGGTTATTTTTTTCGGGTGTATGTATTGTTCATTCCTTTGCTTGAAATTTTTGCAATGTGTGAGGTGATATAGATTATTGTTCATATTTCGAATATCATATATTTACGTGGTAGAGCCATGCTGCGGCTATATTAATAGTATAGTTGTAGCACGAATGGGTCGGCTCGACCGGGAAAGGACCACGCTCTCACAGAATACCAGCGTAAAATAGCAGCTTAATGCTGCTGTGGTTCGTGTGGTGAGTGTAGAGAACCGGAGACCCTTTTTACTGGCAAGAAGTATTCTATCTTAGTCCTCACGGGTGACAACGCATCTGCATTTTAATTCGTAAACGCAGATAGATGTAGATGTCTATGGGCCACAGCAACCACTTACCATCAGGTGTGCTGTGTGCTTGTTTGACACCCTTATTCTAAAAAAAATATGATAGATTAAACACCGGCTAACGAGAAGCGATACCAAATGTAAATAAAACCAAAGCAAGGTTATTAGGAATAGCAGGGGTGCATAACTTTTTGATAGTTAGATTATATATTTAAGTAGACAATATATTTTTAAAAAATGTCTAGCAAATCAAAAAATAAACTTTTTATAAATTTTGTTATAATTTGAATTATTGTATAATGTAGATTTAAATTAAATAACGAGAATAATAATAATGTTTTTCAATATCGCTTGCCTAACAACTTTGTGCCCGGTGTAAGGTAACAGGCTTGCCCCCTGTTACATAGGGACTTAAATATATCAGGCAAAATGTGGGTGTTAATATCTCTGCCTACCCCTTAGGGGATACAGGACTGATGATAAGTTATGTTATGGAAATGAGGATAATTTTTTTTGAGGTAATCATTGTTTATTCAGTCAGACGCCGCTTCTTCTGAGTTAGAATCAGAGTTTGTAACACGTATAATAAATTTATCTGTTACGTCATCTACAATAAAATCAAGTTTGAAAAACTTTTCTTCTTCTTTTCGAGAAGTGAAATCTGTTGATTTATCTCTCGACGTACTTGGTTGTGGCTCCATAATTAACCACACTTAATAAAAACAATTATCAACAAAACAAAATAACAATAATTAAATAAACAACAAAAAATAACAAAAATTTTAACAAATAACTTTATCTCCACGAGCGCGTTCCGAAACGGAAAGAATCACTATTATTACTAAATGGTCTCCCGAATGTTGGCGAACCCGTCTTGACCCTGACATGTTTTTGCCGGGAAAACGAGACATTACGATAAATACACAAGATGGAAAGAGATAGATAATAGATTGTCAACTCCACAGTCGTTTTTAAGGTCATTTTATTACTTAATAATATATACAAATAAATAAATTTGAAGTGTCTGCTTATAATGTCAAAATAACTGCTTTTTTACTAAGTGTATATTAAAGTATATATTTTTTCTGTCTGTATGTTTGTTCCGGCTAATCTCCGAAACAGCTGGACCGATTTTGACAGCACTTTCACTGGCAGATAGTTAATGTTATAAGGAGCAACTTAGGCTACTTTTATTGTAGAAAAAGATTTAGGTAGATTAAGTCGCGGGGTACAGCTAATACATAATTTATAACCACAATCGGGTTTTTTTACAACAATTTGTTATCTTTTTTTCATTTTTGTGTGATCTACACTCGCGAGCAAATGAATCGACTCACCCTTTCAAAATGTACAAAGTGTATATTTTATTTTCAAAAATGGCTTGAATAATGTAAATAAAACATTATTTTTTGAAAGTTTAATACCCAAGCTTCAAAATACTTACAGATTTGAATGAAAACACAACAAAAATGAAGTTAATTAAAGTAAATATTAGGCCAAACAAAGTTAAAATAAAACAGAAAATGTATGTTTAATACTCAAAATTTATTGTCTCAATACTTGGTGTTGCCTATCCTAACTTTGATAACACCTCGAAGCCGGTTCACCGACCTGATAAGTTTTTAATCGTTTCTTGAGGAAGCCTTTCCCACTCCTCTTCCAGCGTTATCTTCAGCTCTACCATAGTTGTAGGCGCCAGATTTCTGACTCGTACCCTTCGTTTGAGCTCGTAGCAAAGAGGTTCAATGGGAACTTAGTCCTGGCCCGTCAATGGTCCGAATGCCAACTTCATCCATGAACTGACGAGTGATTCGTGCTGTTTGACACCGGGCATTGTCGTGCATTAAAAGAAAGCTCTCCCCGATGAAGCCTTCATAAGACATGGTCCAAAAGAATATCTTCCACATATCGTGCAACAGTTAGACCGCCTCCTCGGCCGCTACCAAGGACGAAAACGAGCTCCGTTTTTCCTTCCAGCGAAATGCCCGCCCACATCATACACGAACCACCGTAGTAGGACACTTTTGGCAAAACAGCACTGCACAAACCGCTAGCCTGGACGGCTGTAGACCAGAGCTCTCTTGTCACTGCCATGTAGATACACTCTGCATTCATCAGTGAACAGGACAAAAAGCCATTGCTCACCACTCCAATTAAAGCGCTTGCGAGCAAATTCAAGGCGCGTTTGTCGGTGAGCTGTGGTCAATTTTGGGACTCTGGCCGACCGTCTTGGAATGAGATTCGCTTCTATCAATCGTTTTCTGACCGTCCATTGATTGACGGTCGATCGACGATTGAAACCTCTCAGCTGCTGCTGGACAGAAACACCGGTGAGATGGCGATTTCTGCGACTCTTCGTAACGATCATTTTCGATGCTTACACGGATATAACGATATAAAAAAACATCTGAACGAATTTATATGAAAGTGGTGTTATTTTTAAGCCTAAAAATCAAGCTTTCAAAATAATATAATATAATATTACTCAAGTCATTTTCCAAAAATTTTACACTTTGTATATTTTGTAGGGGTGAGTCGATTCAGTTGCCCACGAGTGTATGTTTAGAATAATTTTGTTACGGAATTTATTTAAAGAAGAATTTTAATTTATTAATGAGGAAACAGCATAATAATACCGCATAGAACATGATTTTATTGTATTACAAATAAATAGTATCAAAAACATATCATTATTATTGTGTCTGATTCTTGAATTTGAATCTAATTTTGTAATAACACTAGCTTACCATCTTACAAAAATTAAATTAATGAATTGATTAAAGTAACTCATAATAATATGAAAGTAGTAAAGGAGAGAATAGTTTTATGTTTTTTGCGCTTATTTGATAATCTAGAAATTTTCTGTTTGTTTATCTTAAAGAATCTTAATCTCTGTCATAGTACACTCACAATTGCAGATGCGTTGTCACCCCTGAGGATTGAGATGAAATGCCTCGTTTCCAGTAAAACGAGTCTCCGGTTCTCTGCACTCACCATACGGAACACAGCAGCATTTAATTGCTATTTTACGCTTATATTCTGTGAGAGTGGTCCTACTCCGGTCGAGCCGACCCATTCATACTGCAACCATGATATAGCTGCAGCTTCTATGTCTTTATTTCGTTATTTTTAACTTTGCAGGTTAAATCAATATTTGAGACAGCACTTTCAAAAGGCATGGAGACATACAAAGAGGCAGAGTCGTTATGGATGAGCTATCTCGAATATTGTAGAAGGAAAACTAACTTTGATAATGAATCAGATGTGGAACGGTTACGTCGTACTTTCCGGCTAGCGTGGGATTCGCTTGCTGAGGTATGTTTTCCGAATTTATCAAAATTATATAACCATAACTGTTAAAGTATGTAATTTTTAAATGATATTTTTTATGTGGGTTTGTTCTATTAATAATGAAATTAAAAATGTTTACAAATTTAAAACTATCTGTACTTATTGTGTGGTATTTTAAACGTGGTCCTTCACTGGTGGTTGTGTGAGGAAGTTCAAGGTCGCTCAGCAGTGTTATGGTGGGGTTTCTCTGTATGATAAACTTAGAAATGAGGATATTTGTAATAGAACCAAAGTAACTGACATAACCCAACGGATTAGTAAGCTGAAGTCACAATGGGCCCGCCATATTGCTCGAAGAACTGACAACAGATAGGGAAGAAAAGTTCTCGAGTGGTAGCCTCGTACCGGTGGGCAAAGTGTAGGGCAGCATCCCACTAATTGGATTGATGACCCGGTAAGAGTAGTAGGAAGGCGGGGGATGCAGGTAGCTGAGGACCGTGCTTTGTGGCAGTCTTTGTGGGAGACCTATGTTCAGCAGTAGACTAGAGAAGAGTTGTGATAATTATGACGATGATGATGTTGCCCTCTTAATTTGAAGTAATTGATTTATAAATCTCAGTACCCAGACTTCTTGTACTTTTGATTTGTCTTTTTATCATCACTTTGGTTATTTTAGGCGTAGCATAAATATAATGCGTGTAGTGACGGTGTAAGAGAATCGACCACCCCATATTATTCCGTGGGTGTGGGTATAAAGGGCGATGGAAGAAAACTGATAACATATAACAACAATGAACCAATATAAAACCTATAATAATACTATACCAAATACTCACAATTTAACCTCCACCTATAATGTAAAAATAGCCAAATACACTGATTTATCCATCGAAATAAAATCCCAGTAGAAAGTAAAAACTGAAACTGTACCTATTATAATATCAGCAACTGGCGTCATTCCCCATTCAGTTTTTTCTAGCTTAAAGGATCTAGACATCCATAAACTTACCTTTATATTGCTGCAGAAAGCAGCAATATTGAATACTTGTAGAAGAGTTCGTAAGTTTCTGTCTAAAGATTAATTGACATTCAACCGAGTTAGTTTGGTTAACAGCCCGCGAAAAAGTTATAATACTTCTGAAACGAGAGAATACTAAACAGAAAGTATAACAATAATAATAATAATATATTTATATGCTTAAACCATGGTATGAAAAGGTTTTACAAATATTATACAATTGAACAACATGTTTTGCTACAGTTATATATAGCATGCAAAGGTTTTGTTTTGTACATTAAGGGTTATGATTGAAAAAGTCTATAATGCTGTAGAAATTATTCTTAATCAGGTATTATAAGGTAATTTAGGGCTATGTTTAGACTTATGCTCAGCGGTGGACTTTATTTGTTTGTAATGAATTAATGAATATTTGGTTATGGAGCCTTCTATCAAGACTTTGAAATTTTTACTGTAATAATTGACTTTTATGTTACCCCATGATATGACATAGGTGTTATATGCTGCCGCATTATCATGTTTGACAACCGTTTACTCTTAGCAAATGATTGAATATAGTATTTGATTATGTTGTGGTCGTTTGCGCCTGTTATAGATAAAATTGAATAATATAATAATTTCTGTAGAATTACTTTGTAAACGTGTGGCAATTGATGGATTTCGCTTTCCGGGTTGACTTATGACTCGGTTTATAAACGCGCCCCACAATAAAAATATAATAATCTGTGGAACAACATGTGAAGACGCCGTGTTGAGCGGTTGTGTGTTCCCGCCGCCATGGCATTTTATTATTTTATACCGCATATTGTGATTATGCTTTTGAAGCCGCCTTGGATTACCTCAAATATTCGCCAAGTGTTTTGCATGTTTTGTGCTGTTCGTGAGGTATTTTCCACAGGCATTCCGCATTAATATTTTAAGGATATATTACAATCACTGTATATTCTTATTCTCCCGCATATATCAAATAAACGTACAATCCACTTGCTCTCTTTAACCAACATTTTTTGGCCTTTCTCGCCAACTTTCCACCGTTTTTCGGTCTGTATGATCGCATGTAATTACTACATAAATATAACCAAGGCCGCGCCTTTGCACTTTTTAATGTACCGCTTTTTATTAATAATAATAATAATAATAAGCATTTATTCATTACCACCAATAAAGTTAAAATGATTACATACAGAAATTACAAGAATTACATAATGTAGTAATGAATGGGCTCTAGCTCAGCATAAATGTTGCAGTTGCCTACAACGCTGTTATTCTGCCAGCGCCCAACATCTGAACAATACAGTACGCGCGCATCCCTTTAATCACAACTATTCACATTAGGGTACATACCGTGGATCCCCGACTATTAGCCAGTTCAAATTAATAATCAAATATATATTTTTATTACCATTTTTTTTAAATAAATAAATAATTATTACAACAATATAACTAATAATAAGTAATATAAATTATAATATAATATTGATATTAACAAGCCTAACTTCTTTAATCTCATATAAGTTGTTTCCCCACCTACTACATAGCAATGTTTATTATTTGTTTTAAGTATTTACATTTAAGTATTACAATTATAACTTGCTCTCTTTAACCATCATTGGTTAACCCCGTGTTTCTGACACTGCAATCAAACTTACCTTTAATCTTACCGTCCAAGCGTTACTTCAGATATGGTTTTAATTAATGCTTCAGATGTGGGATTATAAACATTCACAAATCTCTATTTAAAAAAAATATTTTTAAAAAGTGTATAGACTTGTGGCACTATAATAGTATACATTCTTTGTCATGAAACAAACTACTTTTCTTTTTAACTTTAACTTGTTCCATTTAGCTGTGGGTGATTTTGACAAATGAACAGTGAGACATCTGAATGTTTTCTGTGTTCCGTTTTTCTAATTTAGGTACGGAACACTTAAATATGTTACAGGCTTGGGGCGATGAGGCAAATGACTCAGAAGTGCCTCTCTTTTGGGCACAGCTCGAATATAAGCGTATGAACAATCCTAAGCAAGGAAAAGAAATATTCGAAGAAATATTTAGTAAGTATTTCCATAATAACGTAGCTTTTATAGCTGACTAGTTTATTTTGTTTTTCTATTCAACGCAAACACATAATATTTAAATAGTTTTGAAATTACATGTATAAATATAATCATTTTTGGTTAGGCGCAATGATGATAGCTGATGAGTGAGGTGCTTGTTTATCTTAAATTTCATAATACACAAATAACACGAGTTTAATTGCAATTGTAGGTGTTAACTTATCTCAATGTTTGGCGGTAAAAGATCAAGTACATCTGAATTTTTTTTATAATTTTTTCAAGCACGTTTAAGGGTAGAATAGCGAATAGTTTATCAATCCAAAACCCTCTCGCAAATGGATAGGATTAATAAGCAGTGGGAAGACATAATATATATGCTGTATTTTTTTATGATAGAGTACGGCGAGAACAAAACTATGTCGAAGTACTGGGAGGCGCTCTTACATCTAGAGAGCGGTCGCGGTGGCAGTGAGCACAAGTTGCGCGAATTGCACAGGCGCGCGTTGCAGTGCGTGCGCGACTACCCGCCCGCCGTCGTGCGGCTGTGGCGCGACATGGAGCGCGAGCGCGGACACCTCGACTCCGCGCGCCAGTGCGCCGCGCTCTGTGAGGTGAGTGCTGCAGCTTGCTGCGCTCTGTGAGATGAGTGGTACAGTGTGCTGCGCTTTGTGGACTATTGGTACAGTGCAACTGCGCTCTGTGAGATGAGTGGTGCAGTGTACTGCACTCTGTGTCATGAGTGATGTAGTGTATTGCCTTCTGTGACATGAGTGGTGCAGTGTAATGCGCTCTGTGAGATGAGTGGTGCAGTGTACTGCGCTCTGTGAGATGAGCGGTACAGTGTACTGCGCTCTGTAAGATGAGTGGTGCAGTGTGCTGCACTCTGTGGGTTGAGTGGTGTAGTATAGTTCCAAGAAATGGCGAATAAACAAGTATCTAGTCAGTAAATGATTAGAAACAAAAGTATTTACCAGTTTTATATACAGACGTAAATAATATTTGTTTTATTTATAGGCTAAACTCAAAGAATGGCGTGAGAATTATCAAGCAATGAAAGAGAAAATGATGGGGCAAAAACAGAAAGGCAAGCAAGGTCAGAACAAGAAGACAAAATTAGATAGTAAAAGAAAGTCTAAAGATAACAGACAGGTAAAAGGAAAGAGGAAATCGGAAGAAGCCGGACAAGGAGAAGGAAGCGAGGTAAAAAGAAAAAAGGAGACTGATATGGAAGTGGACGATAAGGAAAAGCAAAGTGACGCAGCAGGCGGCGTGAAGAGGTCACACGAAGATGATAGTGCGGCCGGTAAATTTTTATTATCCTTCTTTGTAAAAAGGTCTATTTCAAGTCATAAAACTAAAATGAATGAAATCTCGTATTTAAATTTTTCATATCAATATCAGATCAACAGATAGATTCCATCTCACTCCTCAGAGGTGACAACGTATCTGCATTTCGTTTCTTGATTGAGGATAAATGTACATGTCTATGAGCCACAGCATCCACTTACCATCAGTTCGCCACTGGCCTTTATTTGTTTATTCCTTTTCTTCTTCTGAAATAAGTACTCGTACTTGATTATAAATGTTTTAAATTTACGTACCACGTTTATTTTTTACTTTTTTATTACTGCTATGGCCATCGCATAAATGTCGTTAATTCCATAATTTAGTACGTAACAAGTTCGTAGTACACGTCGACGGTGCATGCTCTGATTACAAACCTATTAACGCTATTGTTCCACAAGCAAACCTGCTATCACCAACGCTGTTTCTTTTGCATATCAATGATATGTTGCAAGCCGGTAACATTCATTGCTATGCAAAGGACAGCACTGGTGATGCCTTATACACCGGCCGTGCGAATATTTCTCGGGAAAACATCGCCGAGTACCAGGACAAACTTGTCTGATGTCGAGTCTTTGATGAACAAAGTCCCGGATTGGGGGCGACTAAATCTAGTCCAGTTCAATCCGCAGAAGACACAAGTTTGCGCGTTTACCGCTAAAAATAACCCTTTTGTCGTATCTCCTCAGTTTCAAGGCACTCGCCTTGCTGCCTCAGCTAGCATCGGAATCCTTGGCGTCGACATATCGAATAGTGTACAGTTTCGTGGTCGCTTGGAAGGGAAGGCCAAATTGGCCTCTAAAAAGCTTGGCGTGCTCAGCAGAGCGACACAGTATTTCATGCCGGCACATCGCTTGCAACTTTACAAAGCGCAAGTTCGGCCCCACATGGAATACTGTTCTCATCTCTGGGCAGAGGCACCTAGTGCCAGCTCCTTCCACTTGACCGCATCCAGCGCAGAGCAGTTCGAATCGTCGACGACCGAGTTCTTTCTAATCGGCTCGATACACTGGCACTGCGTAGAGATGTTGCATCTCATTGCGTATTTTATCGCATCTATCACGGGGAGTGCTCTGAGGAACTGTGCGGACTAATTCCAGCCGCTCAATTTCACCACCGCACATCTCGCCAAAACTTGCGATACCATCCATACCACCTGGATGATTGGCGGTCCACCACTGTGCGATTTAGAAGAAGTTTTTTCCCTCGCACAACTTCCTTGTGGAATCAATTACCACCAGCGTATTTTCCGGACCGATACGACTTGGAAACCTTCAAGAAAAGAGCTAAAACCTTTCTAAGACTGGCAACGCACCTGCAATTCGACTGGTGTTGCGATTGTTCATGGGCGGCGGTAGTCACTTACTATCAGGTGAGCCGCATGCTCGTTTGCCCCTTCTTCTATATAAAAAAAAAAAACATTAATTGGATTACCGCGGGGCGACTGTATTGTTCATTATAGCTGTTATTTCTCCAGTTTAAACAAATAACTAACATGCTTATTCATACATAATGAAAATTATTTTCCAGGAGCAGACAATAAACGGCAAAGGACGGACAGTGGTGGGTCAAATGACTCACAGCAAGTGGGTAAAGAAGCGTGCACGCTTTTTGTTAGCAATCTTGATTTCAAGTAAGTTATATTATGTAATTCGCCGTGTAGTGCGGTATAAGAGAATCCACTACTCGATATCATTCCGTGGGTATCGTAAGAGGCGACAGAGGAAAATTAAACTGAGCAGCAGTATCTTCCTGATAATAATAAAAGGTAAAAATAAAAATAATAAAATTCCGCGTTGGAAATCCACCTGCCAACAGTGAACACTATGGTAAATATCCTCCACGCCCATAACATGGGGGAGGCTAATGTTTAGCAGTGGATTTTTGTATGGTGTAAGGAATAACTGAATGAAAAATATCTAATTAGTAGTTACTACTACTCTACAAAAGTCACCATTTACAGCTTTAGGTCGGAAAAATATTATCAGTCGCGACAGTAAGTCACCACTGTCGGTCGGGTCTTGTATTATACCCCTTATAAAAATCGAGTGCAAGTTATAAAATGCTTAAAGCTGCTTTCTCTCTCTCTCTCTCTCTCTTTTCACTAAATGACAATAGAAACAGAACAGAAACTTTTTTTATTCAATATAAATTATAAATAATACTTATTGAAAGTCTTTTGTTTAATTACCACTGGTTAAAAAAAAAACCTCTTTCCTGGGAACAACCAGCAAGAAACCCAGTGGGACTTTTTTAAATTAACAGCTTACAATCATATTACAATACACAATTAACCATACAAAACAAATTCGAAATAGCTTGGTAGCGATCACCTTATTCCCAGGGGCTATTATTATTCATAAATTCGTTAATGTTATAATAACCCTTTTTACACAACCTTTGTTTAATAAATTTTTTGAACTTTGAGCAGGTCAAATTTTGTATATTTTCTGGGATTTTGTTGTAAAAGCGTATACATCGCCCCAAGAATGAATTACTGGCTCGTCGGAGTCGAGTAACTGGTACTACTAGCTTGTGGCTTTTCCTAGTATTTACAGAATGAATATCACTTAGTTCTGTATAACTGCTTTTATTTTTGTGTACGTACACATTTTCATAAATGCATTGAGAGGCCAAAGATAATATATTATTTTCCTTAAATTTTTGTCGCAGCGACTCTTAGGTTTTAATCATATTGCTCTTATGGCCCTCTTTTGTAAAACAAATATAATTTCAGTGTCAGTCGCGTGTGCCCATAGCAAAATACCATACGACATTATGCTATGGAAATAGCTAAAGTAAACAAGTCTAGCTGTTTCCAAACTGGTAAGATTTCTAATCTTTTTTACAGCATATGCTGCAGAACTAAGTCTGCTTGCTAATTTTAATATTGGGGCTCCATTGAAGCTTCGTGTCTGGTGTTATTCCAAGAAAAATAGTATCGACAAGACTCAGTTTCTCCCCATTTAAATTACATTATTATTTAAATGTTTGACATTTGGAGTCATGAATTTCATACATTTCATTTTATTGCCATTTAAATGCAAGTTATTACATTAAACCAATTTACTAATATAGTCGTTTTAATTTGAAAATTAATGAAGTGTCATCAGCAAATAATACTGTATTATGGTTATGCCTATACTATGTAAGGTAAATCATTAATATATACAAGAAACTGAAAGGGGCCGAGAAGTAGTGTTGTAGTTTCCTGATTAATGTTTCATGGTGAACACAATCGAAGGCTTTGGATAGGTCACAGAATATACCCAAAGCATCCTGTGAATTCTCCCATACATTGAAAATTTATTTAATCAGCTCAACACCAGCATCAGTTGTCGAGAGACCCCTTGTGAAACTGAATTGATTTCTATGAAGTAAATTATTTAGTTAAAAAATTAACATTTGATCAAAAATAATTTTTTCAAACGTTTTTTAAGTGTTGGCAGTACAGAAATTGGTTTAAAATTGGCGGGGTGTAATCTCATACCTGATTCAAATAAAGGTATTAATAGGAAGAGAGATATAAAGATAATTAAAACTTAATTTATGATACTTATAATCAATTATTATAAATACCGTTTTATAATACCCTAAACAAGTTCTTTGGAACAAGTGTTTACAAATAATAATGGTTCCCGGTTTTAATAGTGATTGAAATTAAGAAGTTTTATGTGTTTATTTAATTTAATATAATAGGGTGAACGAGCAAAGTTTACGAGACAAATTATCGGAGTTCGGTGACATTGTATCAATGAGGGTGAAAGCGGGCGTAAAGGCATTTGGCGGTTCCATCTGCTACTGCCAGTACAAAACTGCAGTAAGTGAACTTTTGATAACTAAACTATTGTTGCCATGATGCTGCAAAGCACTCGAAACTTCGAGAATATAAAATAAGTTAAAACACGATTAAATAATCAATCGTTTAATAAAAAAAATATGAGATATCATTAACTAAACTTTTCAGTTCATAGTATGTACTTCGCAATTTAATATATGTATACACAATTTATGATTCATAATCACGAAGCAAATACAAAGAGGAGATGGCATAAGCAACTGTGCACTGTGATTCTAACTAGGTCCTGACGTCATCACAGTGGGCGTGGCTTTACTTAGTATACTGTCAGCGTTCGTCCTGTGCGTTTATGTGTCGAAAATCGCAAATTGGTGTATTTTCGTAGTATTAAGAAGAAAAGCATGAAGTGATTCATCGTGTGAAAACTACTTAGATAGACGCTCTGATGTTATGGATGGTATCACATTTCATTTGTAAGTAATTTTATACTTAATTTATTAAAAAGGTTCTAGAAAAATCTCTGCGTTGGCTTTCAAATGTAATTAAATATAATCGACACTAGATGGCGACACTTTGTGTCATGGGAACTAAAAATATAAAGGTACCTAGAGCTCAGTATTGGTAAAATAATCATACGAAGGTGTTGAAATTTGTTTTGCATTCAGTCCTAAAGAATTTTTAATCGCCAAAATATTATTTTTTATAGTTTTTATACTCATTTTGTGAACAGGCCGCCATCTATCGTCAAGGTAGCTAAACTACATTGCAACATCGATATGGAACGATGCGAGTAGTTTTACTATTTATCGGTAGATGGAAAATAGTTAAGTGGGCGGGGTTTAACATCCCTTCACCCCGCAAATTGTCACGCGTTTGTTACATAGTGAAATCTAATTACAACACCTCTTTGTATTTGCTCCGTGTTTATAATACTGGTTGAGTGTGAGTTTTTTATAAAAATTAATAAAACTAATTAATAAATATGTCCGTCAACTGAATTTCATGCTTGTACAATTCATTGTACTGGAGGGGAAAAAAGTCTACTTTAAAATATTCATGTGTACATCTTAAACATTATGTCATCAGCAATTTTTCTATTCTATACTTATTAGTTTCGGCGACTGGTAACGCAGTATTCAAGCGTTTGGGTGAATTGTTGCGGGTCGCTGGTTTTATTCTCGCACGGGACGAGTTTTAGTATGGTTTACAAATGATTGCTCTGGCCTTGTGTGTGTTTATTCATGAGCAATTTATGAGAAATTTGCAATGTGGAAGTGTGAAAATAGTGATTTCTAGTCGAAATGTGTACCTTTTCATATTAGAAAGCAAAAAGAAAGATAATTATTAGATCATTCCATATAAGAAAAGATATTTTTTTTTAAAAAGGGACTTAACGAGTAAGAGCCTCACCTGATGGCTTGCGATTACCGCCGCCCATGAACATCCGCAACAACAAATTAATTGAGCGTTGCCGACTTTTAAAAATAGGGCACCCGAGGGTGTCACTTATTGGCAACTTCATAATACTACTTACCTATATATCAATTAATGTCTTAATATATGTACTAGCTGTGCAAGCCCTGTTTTGGCAGAAACATTAGCGGTTGTGTGCACAACAACTCACTAAATCGTATTTTGATGAATTCTCTGGCTCAGAAAGCAAGCAAACAAAGAAATATTAATATTTTAGCAGAAACATATTTTTCCCTATCCTATTTCCTTCTTATTTATTTTTTAATCAAAATCTTTTTTCACCAGGAATCAGTAGAAAAGGCTCTCAAACACGATCGCACACCGTTAGACGGTAGACCAATGTTTTTTTCGAGATATTCGGCGAACAAAGCAAAATCTTCATTCAAGTATGCGACCTCCACTGAGCGGAACAAACTCTTTGTACGGAACCTTCCCTTCAGTCATTGTACTAAAGAGGCGCTTACGGAGATATTCCACAAGTTTGGCAATCTCAAGGACGTGCGGATTGTCACATTCAAGTAATTAAACTGTTATTTAATTTATATCAGTGTTTTCGCCTATTTGTTAGCTTATATTTGCTTCCGATTCGGAAGTTATTGTAATCTTGCTTAAATGGTTGAACACATTTAATTAAAATTTGGAAATGAAGAAATAAAAAGTGTCGTGGCGTTGTAAGAATATCAACTACTCCATTTATCATTCCGTGGGTGTCGTAAGAGGCGATAGTGGGAAACTAAACCAGGGATGGGTAGGAGCATCATTCTTAAACATTGGGATAGAAATTAAATACTGCCATTGCCAATTAGCCTTCTGAGCGTGGCAATCAATCTATGGGGAAGGCCTATGTTCAGCTGTGTATTTTGATAGTTGGTGGTGATAGTGGTAAAGGCATCCACCTGCCATTAGTTGGACTGTGTGCTCGTTTGTCACCTATTCTTTAAAAAAAGTTACCATACCAAGCCTAGCTTTGTATGGTAACTTTTTGCATTCTTTTATTTTTTATTGAATAAGGTACACAAACAGACAGTAGTTATATAAAGTTATAAAATTAAAAGTATGATGGTGTTGATCTAAACTACAATCCAAAAAAAGTGTACACAGCATAATAATATAACTTCAGTAGAATAACAGAAATAAACAAGATAAAAAATACATTAAATAACACGTAAATTTCTTTTAAATCTAACAAGGCTACTATCAAATATATCTAGATGTACGTTACTACGCTTAATTTCGTCGTAATCACGGCACATTTTGACAACAGGGTTGAAAAAGGAAGTGTTATTCCTGTGTACGTCTAACCTAAATATTCTTTGAACACGTTATCGTATACCGGAATTGAAGTTAATTAGCCTTAGTAACTCTGGGCAATCTATATGAGAATGTACAATCTTGTGCAAGAAAACTTGTTCGGCAAATTGTCTCCTCAAAGATAATTATCGTTAGACATTAAAAAAACTTCTGCAGGCTGCCGCCGTGTTTGGCACTATAGGTCGGCCGATTGGAATAGGATACGGTCTTTTTTGCATCCTACCCTTGTGGGCAGGTTTGCTTCGCGCCGGAAGATCCCAGCGTTGTTCTTGTACTTCAGGGTATGGAAATTTTTATTCCATCATCTGTGGTCCCCATCGGAGGCAGATCCCAGCCATGGTTCGTTCACTCCTGTAAAATAGTATCACACTATAAGCAGGAGTGCTACCGGGCTGACGCATCAACGTCTCGGGATGTAAACACCAGCGCTCTTAAAAAGAAGTATAATTCCACCTCCAGGTCCTTCAAAAGAGTCATTGCCAAGGCAAGGTCTGAGCACATCGGCGAGAATTGGTTCGAATTGGCGAGAAGCTAGTTCACCTTTCTTCGGAAACTCGTGCATTCTGGTCTTTCGCCAAGGCTATCCAAGGGAACTTCTGTCAGCCATCTTTTCCATATCTGCACAGAGAGGACGACTCACTGGCCCATGTCGCAAAGGAGAAAGCCGATCTGTTAGGCTCTCTCTTTGCGTCCAACTCGACTCAAGATGACGAGGGGGAACACACCGCCGACCATACCGCGGTGTGAGTGATCCATGCCGGATGTGCGGTTTACACAGCGCTCTGTTCGCAAAGCACTCTTCTCCCTGAACGTCAGCAAGTCGAGTGGGCCTGATGGAGTCTCTCCCATTGTGCTGAAGACGTGTGCTCCGGAATCGGCACCGGTTTTAACGTGTCTTTTCCAAATTCATGCAAGACAGCTTTGGTCCACCTGTTCCCTAAAAAAGGCGACCGCTCAGACCCGTTCAACTACATGTCTATCGCCATCACCTCCTTCTTCTCCAAATAATGGAGTCTATTATAAACTGCCAGCTCATGAGGTACCTTGAAAATCACCAGTTGATTAGTGACCGCCAATACGGTTTTCGTCGGGGTCGATCAACTGGTGATCTTCTGGTCTACCTGACTCATAGATCGGCGGAGGCAGTAGAGTCCAAGGCAAGGCATTGGCCTTTAGTTTGGACATAGCGAAGGCCTTCGATCGGGTCTGGCACAAGGCGCTTCTTTCGAAGCTCCCTTCTTATGGGCTTTCCGAGAAATTGTGCAATTGGATCACCAGTTTCTTTGCAGATCGGAGCATCAAGGTCGTAGTTAGACGGTGCATGCTCTGATTACAAGCCTACTAACGTTGGTGTTCCACAAGGCTGCGTGCTATCACCAACGTTGTTTCTTCTGCATATCAATGATATGTCGCAAGCTGGTAACATTAATTGCTATGCAGACGACAGCACTGGTGATTCCTTATACACCGGAACCTTATATGCCGGAACAAACTTGTGTTTGAAGTAGAGTCTTTGCTGAACAAATTCTCGGATTGGGGGCGACTAAATCTATTCCAGTTCAATCCCCAGAAGACGCAAGTTTTCGCGTTTACCGCTAAAAAGAAGCCCTTTGTCGTATCTCCTCAGTTTCAAGCCTCGCTCCTCAGTTGCTGCCTCAGCTAGCATCGGAGTCCTTGGCGTCGACATATCGCATAGTGTGCAGTTTAGTGGTCACTTGGAAGGGAAGGCCAAATTGGCTTTTAAAAAGCTTGGCGTGCTCAGCAGAGCGAGACAGTATTTAATACCGGAACATCGCTTGCAACTTTACAAAGCGAAGGTTCGGCCTCACACGGAAGACTGTTCTCATTTCTGGGCCGCTGCACCGCAGTGCCAGCTCCTTCCACTTGACCGCATCCAGCGCATAGTGATTTGAATCGTCGACGACCGAGAGCTTTCTGATCGGCTCGATTCACTGGCGCTGCGTAGGGATGTTGCATCCCTTTGCATATTCTATCGAATCTATCACGGGAAGTGCTCTGAGGAATTGTTCGGTTGTTCACATCGCGTCAAAATGCACGATACAATCCTCACCATCTAGATGCTTGGCGGTCCACGCTGTGCGTTTTACTAGGAGTTTTCTTCCTCGTACATATTCTCTGTGGAATTATTTACCACCGGCGATTTTTCCGGACAAATACGACTTAGGGACCTTCAAGAAAAGAGCTTATACCTTCTAAAAGGCCGGCGACGCATCTGCAATTCCCCTGGTGTTGCGGTTGTTTATAAGTGGCGGTAGTCACCATCAGCTGAACCGCATGCTCGGTTGCCCCCACTTCTATATAAAAAAAAAGCTTCTATTACTCTGAATTACCATGGATTTTCCTAAAATAGGTGTCGCACTGTGTAGTAAACTTTGTGTCGTTATTTTCTTCTCCTGACTACGATTTCCAAGGTTTGTGGATAATGTAGCGATAATTCAGTAGATTGGGATGAGATGTGGCATTCTTTTGCATCTCCATGGCGCAGTGGTTTAGCAATTAGATGCAGTGCTGAACGCCGCTGATTCGAATCCCGCACGGGACAATAAAGTAATTGTATGATTTACAAATATTTGCTCCTGGTCTGTTTTTGTCGTTGTACATTTTTATGTATTTATACTGCGTCGATGACAGAAATTCCTAGTGAGTGTGTAACGTTATTAAAAATACAACATGTAACAAAAATTCTGTTATTTCCTGTAAGTACGTTATCAGAATGACTACTTAAATGTTTAGAAATAACTTTACTTCACAAAACTCGGTCATTAAAAATTTTAAAAAAAAATTATTTGCCAATAGTATGTGGTTTTACTACCTCTGTATTCGCCGGGGAGTTTTTTTTGTATAGAATGAGGGTGACTAACGAGCACACAATGCACCTGATAGTAAGTGGATACTGTGGCCCGTAGACATCTACATTTACCCTCGATTAATAATTTCAGATGCATTGGTTATCACTTCGGACTAAGATGGAATGCCTCGTATCCAGTAAAAAGAGTCTCCGGTTCTCTGCATTCCCCATATAAAACGCAGTAGTATTAAGCTATTATTTTATGTTGGTATTCTGTGAGATTATGCGTGAAGAGTATTGTTAAAGAGGCCGCTTCACCGATGCAATGTCAGAGGTAGTGAACCCAGAGAGTTGACTATTTACGTGTTGTACATCCAGGGATGGCAAGCCGAAGGGTCTGGCGTACATCGAGTACGAGGACGAGGAGTGCGCGGCGCGTGCGCTGCAGCAGTGCGACGGGCTGCAGCTGGACGAGCGCCGCCTGCAGGTGGCCGTCAGCGCGCCGCCGCCCCGCCACACGCTGGGCCAACCCAAACGTGACGTCACATCCGGCATGTAAGTTTCCTTAAGGACCGGTACACATGGGTAGCTCAGCGAAATTCCTTGCATTAACTCAAAATTGCGCAACAAAATGGAACGCGCCGAATGAGCAACGAAACGCTCGCCATCTGCACACCGCGCGTACACGTTCTTAGCTTATACAGCGCACAGCGCGCGAACTGTGTTGGCTCATTATTCACTTAGCGAGTTTGTGAGAAAGAATGAATAAGATCGGGTTGACACTTGATTGTGTTCATTCAGTCAGGTGTTGTATGAATTTATAAAATCCTTTCCTCCTTTTATATTTCATGGAGTTGCAATTTATAAAAATAATATAAAATAAGAACCTGGCAATACCACAATATCACTGTTCATTAACACTCCTTATATTATTGTGTATTTGAATAATCATAATAATCATGATTCCAATATATTAATAGAATCAGGCATTACTTTGCGGAAATCCATTTTATTAAAGCTTTTAAAAAGTTACTTCGCAAACATCCGCTTTATAAAATAAAATAAAATGATGTGTCTTACCTAGTATGAAGAGCACCTCCCGCCCTCCCTCAATTGCGTGCACTATCCCGTCACCACTATTCCCAGCACCACTACACTAGGAAAGACTCACCACTGACGACAATGTGTTCGACAATATGTGAACAGTTTGACCTACTTAGGCCCCATGTCTGAAAAAGTAGCCAATACTCTTCGACAAAACGGCGTTTACGTGGCGTTCAAAACAAACAATTCTCTTAGAAATATCTGTAATAATAAAGATACAGATGTTTACAAACTTGTTTGTGACGAATGCCACGCCGTTTACGTGGGTCAGACTGGTCGCAACTTCGAAACACGTTATAAAGAGCATTTAGCCGCGTACAGGAATTGCAATCCCGATAAATCCCATTATGCTAAACATCTTTTGGACACTGGACACAACCTAGCCAACGACCACTCCTTTAAAGTCTTACATACGTGTAATAAAGGGCTGCGGCAGTGTGTGCTGGAACAGATATTAAAAAGTAATAATTGTAACGTTGCACTGCTGAATGAACAAATAAATGTTTCTAACTCACCTCTCTTAAATATCTTTAAGCCTGCTCTCTAATAGAAGACAACCTCTCAATATGATTGTTTATCACCCTCACGGTGATTGCCGATTGGTTGTCTGGTTGGAGGGTAGGCAGGCGTTGCGCGGCGGTTTGTTTTTACTTTTACAAACAGCTGCATAACTCCGGCGGTAATTGGTTGCATGTTTTATCGCATGACGCAGTCGCTCGCTCCTTAAGCAGGGAGCGGTTCCGTCAGCGGTCAAAAAGGCAGTTTGTTTTGGCTCACCGCTCACTTAACTGTCAGCCACCGCAGAGTCTACATCACCTGAGGTTGCCTCGTGTAGAGGTGAAACACGTGTCGTATTGTCGTCAGTGGTGTGTCTTTCCTAATGTAGTGGTGTTGGGAGTAGCGGTGCTGGGATTAGTGGTGACGGGATAGTGCACGCAATTGAGGGAGGGCGTGAGGTGCTCTTCATACTAGGTAAGACACATCATTTTATTTTATAAAGCGGATGTTTGCGAAGTAACTTTTTAAAAGCTTTAATCCAATATATTACACACGTAGGTACTCGTATCGAGAAGAGATTTCACATTAGGTATCTCACTGCTATCGGCGTGTAAATGTCCATATATGAGTGCATTCAAAAATAAATATAAATAGGTAACTAATATGGCTTGTCTATCTAAATGTTGTTATATTAAATTTCAACAGCTATTGGGCCGCATTGTCTGTAATATATTCATAAAAATAATGTATAGCACAGGGCTTGAGACCCGAGTAGTTGTAGTGCCTCACAAGTTAGCTTGTCAAAAGCAGTTAAATGAAAACCTGTATGATCCATTGTAGAAAAATGTAAAAAAAGAAAAAATGATTAAGAAAATTCTGTGTGAAAATGTAAGGTGATGTAGCGTAGACTTCACACAAGTTCTTGCTAAACTTTTCGACTAATACGAACCTTAATTACTTCTGTTGTTCCAGCCCTAATTTAGGTACGACATTATCATCATCATTATCTTATAGCCCTAGATTGGTCACATAAATGAGTTTCAAGCTCACCTCAGTACCCTACAAAATGAAAATGAAAATCGCTTTTAAATGCCCAATCACCTCTGTTCCGTGTTACTTGGGAGCATAGTCGATTCTGTCTGTTTGAACCAATCAGAGGTCTTTATTATAAGAAAATTGTCATGGCTGCCGCAAACAGTTATAGTTGAATATCTGTGACGATTCGATTGTGAAATATATTGTTTCTTGGGAGAATAAATTAGAGAAAATGTAGTGGCAGCTCAACATTAATCATCATTATAGCCTTTCACAAGTCCACTGCTGAACATAGGCCTCCCCCAAGGAACGCCACAAATCATGGTCCTGAGCCACCTCCATCCATCGACTTCCTGCATCAGGTCGTCACTCCATCTAGTCGCCCTATATTTCGCCTACCGGTACGAGGCTGCCACTCTAGAATCTTTTTCCCCATCGGTTGTTGGTTCTTCGAGCTATATGGCGAGCCCATTGCCACTTCAACTTACTAATCCAGTGAGCTATGTCGGTCACTACTATCCAGATATTTTCATTTCTAAGTTTATCTGGCAGAGAAACCTCGAACATAGCCCTCTCAAAAGCTCGCTGGGTGACTTTGAGCTTCCTCATACAGCCAGCATTGAAAGACCATGTCTCAGATCAATAAGTCATCACTGGCAACACGCACTGGTTGTACAAATCTCGTTTTCGTTTTGAGGTATACCTAAGGAGAAAATATGTCGTAATTTCCCGAACGCTGTTCCTGAAATAGAGACGTGTTGATGCTTCTATAACTTTAATTATAATGTCCTTATTCTACCTTAACACTAATATATATTATAGTCGTGGGGGCTGTACTACACTACACCCCCAACGACAAAAAAATAAATGAATACATTTGTTTTGTTTTTCTAACTTATAAAAATAAATATATAACGTTAGTCTAATAATAACACAAAATACAAAAGTAAATATAAATAGGTATATCCTATGGGTAGTTCGGGTGGCCATATCCCTCTGCCCCATAGTAATTTCAACGTCATAATAGAATTGGTATGATGTATCATGCATACATACAAATACAACATACTTATTTGACATAATTAGGTAATTCGCGAAGTTCTGGTATAGTTGTACATTCATTTATATTTTAAAATACTCTGCTCTTATATATTTTTTATTTTACTTTTCATCTCATTCCTTATTTTCTATTGTTAGGCCTTTTTATTATCTTTTTTTTCATAATTCTTGTACGTACTTTTTTTCTTGATTTTTTTGACCTTTAGCTTCATTTCTCTCTATTCACTTATATATTTATTTATTATTTAGATACCGGGAATTGGAGTATTAATTCATTTCATTTATATTTTATTTCGTGATATTTATCACGCGCGTACTTTATAAATATGGCCCCCCATTTATTTGGGTATTATTTTACATTTTCATTACATAAATTTTATTTTATTGGTACATAAACTTGTTATTCATACTATATCAAGGTAAAACTGTACCTTGGGTTGTGCGCACAACCTTGAGGTCAACGTTTAAGTCATTTTAAAAGGACTCCAACAATTGTCACGGAGGAAAACTAAGTTCACACTATGATCCAATGAAGGATGTGACCTCTATGTACCATTATTAAGGGTAACAAATTTAAGACTTCTCTGGTCCCCAACAGTACTAATATGAGTAAACTCTGAAGGTATTGTTCCCTAGTACCCGTTACTCCAGATTTTATCATCCAATCATGGAAACATACTCTGCTCGAGGACTATATGCTATACCAGTGATGGACGTTCCCGTATCTCTCAAAACATTGTTTATTTTTCTTTCTACTCTATAGCATTTTAGCTATTCTTCAATATTTTCATTTACAATTATGTATTCCGTTACTTATACATAAATTTACTTACATCTTTTACAAATTGATATCATATAGTCTTGTACAATGTATAGTTACATCATTGTCAGTCAGGGGTTAGATGCACACAATATGGGCACAACAAAATTCATATAAATTAATATAATTTTCAAAATCGTATTAAGCGAAGTAAATATTTTCATGATCCACACAAGTACGCATTATTTTCCGAGAAAATAATAAATTATAATATTTTAAAAGTTTACGATTTAAAAGTTCAAACAACATAAAACCGAAAACAAATTATTACATTTCATATTAAGATGAACAGAACAATAATTTAAAATTAAAAATTTTGTACAGCCGACTTCAATATAAGTTATTTAAGAATAACTTAAAAACTATTGAACTGACCTTGATCAAATTCATATGGGACCACACGAGAAGTACCAGCTTTCAAATAAAAAAAGAATCATCGAAATCGGTTCATCCAGAAAAAAGTTCTGAGGTAACACACATAAAAAAAAAAACGAAAAAAAAAAACATACAGTCGAATTGAGTACCGGCTCCTTTTTGGAAGTCGGCAGAAAAAGTTAATGTTAAGCAACGTAATCATTTTCAATAACAATAACATAATCACATAACAAAAGACAGATCAAAATACAAACTGTAATCTTAGCAACGCAAGCAATTTGAGACACCTTTACGCACAGTGTAATAAACATACAATAGGACGATGCCTTTGATCTCGTGGTAAATGCCGACAACGTCTAGACAGCGTATGGAGGTTAGGGTTGTCACAAATTAACAACTTTTACTAATTTAATTATTTATTTTAGATCTACATCATCATCAACAGTATGATTACTAATATAAAAAATAAGTAACAATTTGTTCTTAAATTTTTCCTGAAAGTACTCAAAACGTTAATTGCACGCCTCACAACGTGAGGGAGTGCTCTACTCTCGATATGTGGCCATATCTCAATTTCGCTACATGAAATCGTTCTTACACTCTTAGCTAAACATCAAATCCGTATTATTATTAACGTTACAATGACTACAGACATTGAATTATT